GAGAGAGAGAGAGAGAGAGAGAGAGAAAGAGAGTGCAGACAGGGAGCCTATAGACAGACAGATAGGCAGAAAAAAACTGAGGTACAGACACGCATGAAGGAGCGTGCGTAACACACACACACACACACACACACACACACATACACACATATACACACACACACGCACACATACGTACGCACACATGCGCACACACACACACACACAAGAACACACACCGTGAGAGAGAGAGAGGGAGAAAGAGGGAGACAGGCAGCCAGACAGGCAGACAGACAGACAGACAGACAGAATGAGATACAGTGTGATAGATAGGGAGAGATAGAGAGAGGAATAGACAGGGTGATAAAGAGGAGGCAGGGTGGGGGTGGAGGGGTAAAGAAAGAGAATGAGACAAAGAGGGTGAAAGAGACTTAGGCAAAGACAGGAAGAAAAAAAAAACAGATAAAGAAAGAAGACGAACACACAGATCTAGTCTTAGAAGGCCCTAAAACGGAGTAAAATGGGGGTGGGGGTGGGGTGGGGGTATATTTTTCTCAAATGCAGGTATAAGGCATCTCTCCACTCACCTCGCAGCTTTGACGGCGGCCACGAGAGGATTATCGTTCCAGCCTGTTGCACTGAGCCCCGTGGCTTTACTAAGGACGATAACTCTCTGGAACAGTCCCTGCACACTGGAAGATAATGCTAAGACTGAGGCGTCAAAGGCTCCAGCTGACTCTCCACCCAACTGAAAGTGAAAGGCCAAAGGCACACATAAGCACTGGTGTGAGATGATTTCTGAAGCAAGCAGCGCGAAGTGTTTCGGTGATGACACTTTTGAGAATTCAACAAAATTGTGTTCATATGAAGTATAGACTTACACGATTATTATAATATTTACTGTGTAGGCTACACTCTGACAAATCCTGGTCCACCGTGGAGCTCACCATTTTACTCTTAAGGACAAGGAGGGAAAGGTTCCAAACGCACTCGACAATAGTGAGTCTGGTATTTAGCCTTTCGATTTGAAAGCCAATGCAGTGGTGCGCGTTCGTTAGCGAAGAGAAGTTTTTTTTTTAAAAAGCGAGCAAAGAACTGCAGCCAAATTAGTGCGCGGTCTAGGAAATCAAAGTCAAAAAAAATGGTGGGATGTATAATTATATACATATTATGGTGGTCTGTAGATATTTTGTGTTTTGTGCCCCCATCGTCACACTTAAATCAATCAGCCAAACGTTACTTCTGGTTTTCTTGTTTTTCTTTTGGCTACTCATGCACTGAGAGATACGTCATAGTGCACTGACGGAGGCAGACAATAGATTTTAGATACCGTATTCTCCTGTTATTGTAACCAAAACTCTAGCCTTTTGTTTGCTGGATAAAACAAGGAAACGTTACAACACACAATAGTCGTCGGCAACTTATCACAGTTCGTGAAAGTTGAGCATTTAAAAAAATCTTAAGTTGCTTATACATTTGTATCCCAGTTAAAAAACAAACAAAATCCAGTAAGTCCTGACTATACAGAAAGAGGAGAGAAAACCCCAAACAAAACCACCAAACTGTAAGACCACTCACCGTGACAGCCTGGGAGTCCCCCCCAAAAGCTTGGATGTTGTCTCTGACCCACTCCAGAGCCCGGATCTGATCCCACAGGCCGAAGTTGCCGAGGCAGTCCGGGGTCAGGGTGCTGAGGAAACCAAAGACTCCGAGACGGTAGTTCAAGGTCACGACCACCAGATCAAAGGTCGTCACTAGCGTTCCGGGGAAGATAGTGTTAGAGTTCCCTCCTGTGTTGCTCCCTCCGTGGATGTAAACAAACACCTGAATGAAGCATTAAAAAGTAGGCAAATCCGGATGGGTTTTTTTCCTTTCTTGTCTTTTTAGGCATTTGTTGTTGTCAGAAATAGCTATTCATACAATAAACGGTTAGGCGCAATGTTGACATGCACAGCAGACAATAGCTTCATGGACGCATAAACTTGTCTTTAGTGATTGGGAAGTCAACAGTGTCTAAATTTAGCTCTTCTCTGATAGAAACATCTCGTTATCTCGAAATTAACTGCTTATACAATAAATAATCAGACACAGTGGTATCGGACAAAATGGAAAAGTGTTTCTTTAAAAATTGAAGTCAAAACCAAGTTGAGGAGGGGTTGGCTTTTGGAATTGACGATTTTGGATCAAATTTTGATTTCTGGGCTTGGTACGTATTTTGAAACTTCAACTACTTTTGAGACTAAAAAAATAGGTACAGGAGTTTGAAAATCGCATACTTTAAACTAGAAACGTTATAACACATTATGGTACTTTTATTTTGTTAATGTAACAAAATGTCGTTTTTCTCAAAACTTCGATTTTTGATAATTTTATTTTTTCTTCTGATTATTTTTTAAATTTTCTGTTTGATTCCAATGGTTTTGTCAGAATGTGTTGTTCGCACCATAACCTAACTACAGGAAAAAACTACATGCAAAAATTACGTGATTATTAAAAAATTAACGCAGAGCTAGATTTTGTTAAAAAGGCAGACAGTAACAGAAATAAACAAGCTATAGAAAAAATAAATGACACCTTTTATTGCGACACAAGCTAGAAAGCCGTGAACACGAGCAGAGACCTTTTTACTGCGCTTGCCACAAACTATTTTTGAAGGCCAACTTTAAAAGATATCATGTTGTTGTTATTTCACTCATTGCTTTTGCTGAATGGGTTTATGTATCGTGCGTTTTTTGTACGTAGTCAGAGGTAGACCTATAAAATCGCACTTGCGAAATGTCAATGCGCAGATCTGTCTTTTCGACATTTGAAATAAAAATCATTATGAAAAATTCTATCTCGCATATCGTTGCGTTCCTTTTAAATAAATAGATTAAAAGTGACACAGGCGTCTCAACCCACCTCAGCCTTTTTTGTTCTTTAAACACATTTTAGAAGCTCTTTGTCCTAGTTATTGCTCTTTTGCCCAAAGTTCAAACATGCAGTTGTTGTTGAACAGTTATTTCTTAACTACGTGTAGAAGGGGATGAAAAGAGATGTGTTTTTACACCCCTATCGACATAATTTGCGAAGTGTGCTGACAAAATTACTTACTTCTCGGAGTTGAGCCCTATGGAAATAGATACGTCATGCTTATAAGTAAAGGTTTTACAATAAGTATGAAATAACTAACGGCATTTAGTACTTAATGAATATTGCATCAATAGAAAACCTAGAAATTTGACGCTGGTGTCCATTTTTGGCCAATATCTGCATTTGTGGATTGTGAGAAGTAACTCATTTTGTCAGCACGCTTCATATTTAGATAATTTAGGAGGAAGGCTTCCCACCCAACCACCTGTTAGTGCCAACCTGGGCACCGAGGGATACAACAACATGGCAGAAAGATTTAGATACTCTAAGTGACAATAAAAAAACATATTCTTCCTGCTCCCGAATCGAACTCGGGTCTCCTGCGTGTAACAGCGAACGCGACACCGCTACACCACAGACGCTGGTGAGAGAGTGAGGACGTAGAGAATACCAACATCTCACATGACATTTTTCTTACTTTTTAAATATGACCCCCGTTTGAAACTCACTATTTATTCTATCT